TTATACTTGGTTTTCGCTTATATAAGTCACAAACAAGGGTTTTCGGACAACCCCCATATAAACCCGAAGCCCTGCTCAAACTTGACCAGGGCCCCCCAAGTTTGAGCAGGGCCCCCCTTTGACCGTGCTAGAGGGCGAGGCCTTTTCCCAGGTGGATACCCGCACTATAGTATATTGGGGTTATGGAGGGATAATGGAAAAGAAAAAGGAAACTACTATAGCTACGTGCACACCTACAAACCATTAAATCCCTTTCAGTATAGCTCACCAGACATCCAAGACGACTGACTCTGGCCAGCATTTTGTGCAGCATCGTCGCTCCTTGCATGCTTGGCTCCTCCTATTCCATTGGGCCCATGTCAGGCGAGAAGTTTCGCTTCGGAACCCAGCTGCTTGGTATTGGATCTATACATATTGTGCAAAGATAGTAGTGTAGGGTACTAAATAGTGAGCAAGTACAGGTATCCTTGTCAGGTCAATTTCAGGTACAGTACCATCGGACCATAAGGAATCTAGGAGCATGATACTATGATTTGTCAGTTAGACCCCTGCAGCACTTGGCTGCCGGCCTTCTTGTATGGAGGGTGCACGCACGTCACGTTCGACAGTAGACACCTGAGGGAGCATGTGCAGTCTGCTGCTGCGCCTGTCAGAGGCTGCAAGTGCAGAACCAGCAAGCAAAACCACGAAGGCGCCGGTAAAGGTCGCTGACCTTGGTCCAGTGGAATTTGACGTTGGATTACCGTTGAACTGGAGCCGGCCATCTCAGGCAAGCCTTTCTCTGATGCTTTCTGGCCACCTGAGTGCATTTCTGAGCAAAGCCCAGGGCTAACAGCTGGTGGAGCTCCCGGCCTCTTGGTACCGCAGAGCCTCCTGCTGTAACTCTGCAGCAAGATCCACGTGTCCTCAGCCATCGCAGAGGCCATGAAGAACATCTAGAATTGCACTTGTCTCCAAGTCGAGGCGTCAACCTCTAGCATTTGCGAGGTCGATTGGCATGTGCAAGTTGCTTGTCCTGGCTCCAACCACATCTGCACAACTCTTCATGCCGCTCATGAATCCCTGCGTTCTGGCTTTGCTTGAAATTTGAGCCAGCCTCACATCGCATTTACATCTGCCTGGCAAGATGCAACGCGGCTAGAGCTTTAGCAAGCAGCAGGCAGTTACCCTTGCTGGACAGAGAGCTGCCTGGCTGGCCAAGAGAAGTCTTGCCACAGCCTCAGCGCAACAAAGCTTCTAGCGTAAACTACGACTTTTCTATAAAACCAGGCTAGCCGCGCGTTGCCCTCTGCTGGCAGCATGGTGCAAAGCAGTTGCGCCCCACTGGTCAAGCTCCTGCACCTGTACAGTTGAAGCCAGACCACGAGACTTCGCCAACAGGCTATCATACCTTTGCAGTCAATACCGGTCTTCTTTCCAACGAAGTCAGGTTGCTCTTTGATTCTGACACCTTGAACACTACTCAAGTTCTTGCTGGAACGGTTCGTGCTATTCAGCCTCTGTCTCACTTCACAGCTGCACTCCTAAAGCGCTACAGTCTCAGGGCTGGAGGGAGAATCTGCACGAAGTTGCTGAATTGCCATGCAGTCGCAGCTTCTTCACTCTCCACCGCTGTGGCTGACCCTGGTGTCCTGTCTAAAGCACCGGGTTCCTGCCCTTTGCAGTGTCAGGCGGCAGCGTTTTAGTTTGTAACTTTGCGGGGCACTTTGGCCCGACATTAAATTTGGCCTTCATGCTGTTGCCCTTCTCTTTCCCATCTTGACCTGCCCGCGAGGGTGCCCAGAAATGCTGACCCAAAGCTTGCTTTTGTCTGGGCGTTCGACTTGATCCAGAAGTATGGAGGCAGTCTCTGGAACAGCTCGATACCTGCACCAGCACAAAGGGAAAAAGGTTTTGACGTACAAAGTACGGACGTTTGCAGCAGTGTCGCACGTGGCATCCACAGCAGCTGGCCAGTCAGGATGCCTTTCCTGTAGTTGGAGCCTCACCATGCTTCGACAGTGTAGCTGGTTCGGGCTTCATCATGTCAAGCCTTGAAGTAACTGAGCAACTAAGCTCCAAGCATGAGCTCCAAGTCAGTTCCTTAAGCGCAACGCAGCCTTGCCAGCTGCCAGGATTTGCAAGAAGAGCTCAGTATGCGGCGTATTCGCTCAGGAGAGGCATAGTCTGGCTCTAAGAGCATGCGCCTGGATTTCAAGAAACAGCCTGACCCTACTGTAAGATGCCGTTGTTGTGAGACGTGTTGTGGGCTCGAAAGAAATTCAGGCAGATGGCAAGTTGCGCCGTTGCATGTCAGCTTCCCGACTCTTACCTGCGGCAGAATATCAGGTGCCGGGTCTCCGAGAAGTTTCAACACGCTGGGTGACGGGCGCAGTTGAATCAGCCGTTGCTCGTCCATGGTAACAAGACCCACCTCTTGCTGATGCTTCTCTGGCTTTCCCTTCTGTGATCCACGCGACTAACACGAGAGCCCTTGCGGGAGGACCTGGTATGGCTTAAGGCCAGAGACCTCTTCGGGCACCGGGTCGTAGGGCGAAACGTTCAGGCTCGCTGCCTGGCTCATGACGTAAGTACCAAAAGGTTTGGGAATCCTGTCAAGAGATTGTTGCCATATTAGCTGTTCCTTACTGCAAGGCATTGGTGGAAGCAAGCGTGTACTGGCTATGCCAACCATGCGGTCTGATGGAGCATGGATCCTTTTGGTCGCAGTGCCACGCGATGAATCGGCATGTGTTCGCCAATGTAGTAAGCCTCGGTCTCTGTGGTGGCCAGCCTTGCAGAAGGCTGTGCTTCTGGAACTGGCCAATTCTGAAGTCATGTGCAGTACCCTGGCAACTGCAATCTTGCCTTGGAAGCGGAGATCTTGCTAGCCTCGACTGAGTCGTGGCATGTCATGGCTACGTTTAACAGCCGCACATATTCCATCATAGTTCTTCGACAGTTTGCCGAGTTGTTACCCTGCCGTCTGTGTCCAGTTTGCTTCCGGTCTGGCCTTCTTGTGTACAGGGTGTGTTGTGCATGGGGCCAGCTACCCTTCAAGACAGACGTAACTTGTGTGCAATTGCTTAGGAGCATCAAGACGGCACAGATTGCTTACACAGCCAAGGCACCAGCCAGGACCCACGGCTCTGCGACCGCCGCGCCTTTCGTGCTGCAGCTGTCGCCGCGAACGCCACAACGTGGGGTCCTGCGAGGCAATTTCGGAAGTTTGCATTCGTGGCATATTCTAGTATTATACATACATACATACATACATACATACATATATATATATGTATACATATGCGGAGGAAAGTGCTGCTACTAGAGCTGCAAATAGTCCAGTGCCCACTCTAATGTCCACTCCCCTGTTCTTCAATTCACTCTCTGCGTCACGCACCGCTCCGCACTGCACTGTGCTCCCACTCCCACTCACCCGTCCACACACTCCACCACTTTCCACTCACACCTTTCCCTTCCACTCCATTCCATTGCGCAATGGCGCAGCTGGTGTCGTCCCTGCATTCTCCGCCGAAGTCCAAGAGCCATGACAGGCACGAGGATAGCGAGTCTGACTGCCCCGCATCGACCACACAGACGCATGAGCCGAAGACACAAAACCATCCAAAAACGACGACGTGCCTGCGACTGTCTTTGAAGACACGAGGCTCCAAAAGTGGCCACAGTTACAAGGATGGCGACCCCAAGGGGTCCATCCCTGTGACTTTTCACGCGCAACAAAGACGTGACTCTCCCAAAGCGACAGCAGTTACCAGGTTGCCTACCCCCAGGGGCATCCTCCCTGTGACTGTTGGCACTTGTGAACTTATCACATGCGACGAAGAAGCAACGCTTCCCCGCGCAGCCCGGCCCCGTGCTCCGTGACTGTAACAATTAGCACCTTCGACACGCAAAGCAGCAACAACGGTCCAAAGGCGACAGCACGTGTAGAAGGATGGTGACCGCGCGAACGCTTGCGCACACTTGTGGACGGACGCTTGCGGACGCGGGCGCAATGAGTTTGGCCGGTCTCGGGGTCCCAGATCCCAACACTGAAAACAGGAACCTTTCCACGGAGCAGTAGGCAACAGGAAGCACCAGGCAAGATGTTACTCATAGAAGAAGAGAGGCTTGATTCAACTACGAAGCGTGAACTTACCCGCACTCTGGCCAAAAAAGGAGTAATTACACAAAGACTAGCAAGATTGGATGCAATCACAAAGCAAAATCGTACGCGCACAAAGAGCATGCAAAGGAAATGTCGGGAGGGCAATTGCAACGACCAGGCATGACGTGCTTGGTACCATGATCTTGCAAGGGCATGCACTAACAAAGCCGTAAGGAGCTACAACACAACCGTCGAGCTTACCGTCATTCGTACCATGCCCGACACAAGGCAAAGGCATTAAACATGACGGGAAGCGCAACCACCCGGCATGATGATGCTCGTCGGGTAGTGGACACTACATAGAGGCCAGGGAGGCTTGATGCAGCTAGCAGCACGGTTGATTGTATCATGACTTTGCAAGGCTGTATCATGTTTTTTTTCGTATTTATGACCTCGCCGAAGTATGGCACACGATAGAACAAGTCTGTCTGCACGCGAGCTCTAGCTATCTTCAAGCCCATCTGAAGAATCTGGACGGCCTCAGCACCGCTGACTTCTGGCGCGAGAGATCCATCCACCACAGCTTCCCAGCCATCAGCTTCTGCCAGCTCACGTAGCCCGACAGCTAAGTCCTCCACGTTGCTCTGTACCTGCCAAGCATGACTGGTAGATGTATGCATGGCCTCGTGGCCCTCTGCTGCTTCCAACGCAGTCAAGATCAGTCAAGGCTCCAGAAGCAGTCCGTGTCCTCCTCGCTCTAACAAGCACATTCTCGCTGCTCGGATTAACTCCAGGTTGGCCATGAAGTCTGAAGAGTCCATGCTCTTTGGCAGGTGACCTTGGCTGGCACAAATGTCTTGTAGGCTCTTCCTAGTTCGGTCCACGCATGTCGACCAACATGTTTGCAGAAAAGCTCTACACCAACATGCTGGCTGCCAGTCGGACAAGCGTCTGTTGCCACTTGAGAATGCCTCTGTGCCTTGGAAGTCGTCCATGTTAAATGAAAACTGCTTGCTCTAGCTACTTCAGCAGAGCTCAGAATCTGTGGACCATCCGAGGTTTGCACTGTTTGCATCGAGGCTGGCAAACGGAGTTGGGAAGTTGATCAGCACCCAGGATACTTCACCACGATACTGAGCACTCACACTTTGCAGAGCCTCCTGCGCATCACCATGTACAAACGCCAATTCTTGCGGAGGAAGCCGCCAACGCTTCGATAAAGCACGTGCAAACCCGATGCAGTGTGCAGAAGCATCAGCAGCCAACGCGCTGAAACCCGACAGCGCCAGCCCCAGACTAGAAACGCCAAAGCCACAACCCAAATCAACCACCAGGCTTCCGGAACTCCCAGCATTCAATCCTCGAATAGCTTTGGCGAATCGTGCGGCAGCATCTGCCGGTGGAATGCTCTTACGGCCTTGCCGCCTAGCGTGCCGAAAAAGCCACAGCATTGGCCGCTGCGAATGCAGTGTGTAGTTGCCAGTGCGCAGGTCCACAAGGCTGGACGTGTTGGGACACTTCAGTTTCTGCAGCGCCTCTAAACCCGCCGCGAAGAGTGCTGGATAGTCACATTGCCTGTAGCCGGCTGCTGCGCACTTTTCTACAATCTGCTGCATAGTAATCAGCGCAGATTTGCCGGACGTACGCTCGATCTCTTTCGTCGTGATGCTGGCGAGTTCATTAAACAGGGTCTGGTCTGCGCAGCCTACAAGTGCCAGCACCATTGCCAAATCTGCAGCTTGCCTTCCGGGTAAAGCACGCTGCTTCCTAGCGGCCTCCGACCGCAACCTTTGCCACACAGCAGCGGCTGCAGCTGCGGCGATGTGGGAAGCGGCTTCATCCGAATCAGCCAGCAATGACTGCTGCAGCGCCTGGCGTGCGATGGAGCGTGCTTGTGTGCCTTCGGCAAGAGCAGCTGCTCGTTCTGCCGCCACTATTCTGGGATGTGGGACAAGACGATATGCCTTGGTAGAGTCATCTGGGCGGATGTCCTCGACAGTGAGGCCCTGATTCTCCAAGTATGGCTTGGCATGGCCAAGAAGCAGCTCGGCCAAAACATACTGCTTGCCTTGCTTCGCAAGCTCTCTGACCTGTAGCAGCTGGTAGATCTGGTTCTCATCCAACGATTCTCCTCCTGGAAACAGGTCTCGCAGAGCTTCCTTGGCATCCTCTTCTTCCCTGCCTTCTTGCCATGCTTGCCGTAATGTAAACAACATTTCTTCCGGGCGTTCGTGTCCAACAATTGCTTCCGGTACTCGGGCACGAAAAGCCGAGCTTGCAAGGCACCTCCGGTTCTGACATCTCTCAACAGGTATACGTTGAAGATGCCACACACGATGCTGTACCCAGCATGCCGGCCAAGCAAGCCAGCTGCATGCAATTGCAATATCACATGCTCGGGTTCGTCTGGCACAGCCCGCCATGGCAAGTGCCCTGCTGGCACAGACCCCCCCTCAACAGCATCCTGCACGGGCTCAGACGTGCTGCATGGCAACAAAATGCAACAACAGTCAACATCTAAACTCTGTTTCTTGTCTTGCCCAAATTCGCCCAGCCTTGCGCAGCAGGTGCCCAAAAGAACCCGGCCCCAGGATCTGCCCACCCGTCACAGGACAGTTTTGTCTGCCTGTTTCCGTCTGTTGCTACAAGTTGCAAGGTTGTCCCTGTTTTTTGCTGCAACTCCTGAACGAGGAGATTGCTTACACCTTGCAATCTTAACGATATCCAATTTATTCCGTCCTGTGATTCGCAAAATCTATTCTACCCTTTTCGCAGGATCTCCAGAACACCTAGAACTAGAATTGCATGGAATGGAAGCTGAGTGGCAGGATGACAGTCGAGGCACTTGACCACACAAAGGCAGCAATGTCGCAAAAATGTTCTACAACCCAAGCCAGGTGGTGGACTGGTGTGATGACGGGATACTGCACGAAGATTAAGCAGACAGCTTGATGATATACCACAGCTGGAGGAAGCGGCATCGAGCGTCAGAAGTACTTGTTGCAAAGAAAGGATGAGGCCATTTTTCGGTCCCGTGGATCGCACGCGATCTCGGCTGCAGCTTGACAAAACGTAGCTGGAGGAAGTAAGAGGAGCAAAGATGGCTTAAAAAAAAGCAGGGACATTGGGGCTCTTCGCCTGGCTTCCGATCACAAGGGCTCTTGAGAGTGAATAAGGCATCAGGCTTACGAAAACACCTCCAATTCCTCGTTTTCGTTTTAACGGCAAACAATGCAATCTGGATGATCGATCGGATGGAATTCTTCATCCTGTCTGGGGGGGTTCAAAGCTACTGTCGATCTTTTCACTCAGGTTAGATACTACGGTGAACTCACCGCTTGCGATCTTTCTTTTCAATGCAAAGTCCATGAAACTGGCCTGCAGCAGCGCTGCACGGGAATCTCTATCTCTCCCGCACTACTGCATGCTAATTCCGCTTAGCAGGCTTTAGCACCATGATCTTCATCGTCCTCCTCATCCCATGCAAATTATCGAGGATAGAGGGGTCTTCTTGCATACACACTGTCCATGTATGCAAATTATCGAGGATAAAGGTGTCTTCCTGCATACACACTGTCCATGGGACGCTCTGGCTGAGCGATTGAAACATCAGAGTCTGCATCCGGCCCGCATCATAGAAAGGCTGCTTGCAAAATGTATGCAGAAGCACAAGCCAAGCACAAGCACATCTGCACAGCAATCCTGATCAAGCAATTCTCTTGCTGACGTGTATGCATTGATGACTCAGACGGATACTTGCTGAATAATGCAGGTGCATTTAGGGAGCAAAGCTAGAGGACGAAGAAGGTTTCCAGTCAGGTGACATGCCGAGTGGTGCTCCTGAAAAACTTCAGCCTAGACCCCTGCAATGGAGATTGAAGCTCGAACCATGGCGGACGTGCCTTGAGCCCTCGCCGTGCCAATTCGAAAGCAATGGCACCTGCAGCGACCGTCCTACAAAGAAAACAATTCCGTTTGCCGCTCACTGAGCTGAGAGGCCATGATGCTGCCTATGTCAAGTGATTGGCACCCTACCCCTAAACACAGCGTTTTGCTTGCCTTTGTCCACTCGAGACGGGCCTGGACACGCGTTGCAGATGATGCGTGTTAGAGTTGGGCTGGCAGGCCCTTGCTGTTTTCCTGGGGCACAGGCCTATCAAAACGATATCCGCTTCCGTCCATCCCTGCAGAGGAAAGGCTTAGAAGCATCGGGAGTTTGACTTCCGCATCTCAGATCATGGCCCGCCTGCGGATTCAAGCCGGAGACGTGCTTCTGTCCGTATTTGACAGCTTCTACCATCCTGGGCATCTAAAACATTTTTGTAAAGAGCCAGATTTGTATTCTGAGCGTCCAATACACGCTGCAAATAGAGGCCTTCGTGTGAAGCTGAGGTCACGGCCCCAGAAACTCCTTGCTAACCAAATTTGACACTTTCCTCTCGTCCAAGCCTTAGCTGCTTAGAGCTGAAGAAAGAGATGATATATATAACCCCTTATATAACCCCATTATAGTAGTTTCCATTTTCTTTTCCATTATCCCTATATAACCCCAATATAACCCCCATATACCATAGTAGTTTCCATTTTCTTTCCATTACCCCTATGTAATCCTTATATAACCCCAATATAACCAAACTAGCCTTTGGAAGTTCCGAAGGCTGGGAAGGCTTAGAAAAGCCTCGAGGCCGGGTGCCGTTGTCTCATGGAATTTGGCTCATATCCTACAATCATATTGAGATAATGGAAAAGAAAATGGAAACTACTATAGTACATTAGGGTACATATTGGGGATAGATTGGGATAATGGAAAATACATTTGAAATTACTATTTAGGGTGTGAGTTCAAGGGCTTAAGGGTTTAAGGCATCCCATACTCCTAGCCTTACCCTGAGAATCCAAATGGCCCAAGAGGCCAAAAAGGTGCTATTTATAAACATTGCAACCCAATGTAGGTATTGTTTGTAGACATGAAGCCCTATGGTTAGGCAAGACTTGATTACCCAAAACCCTAAAACCTTCCTGGAAAGCGTGTATGTGCGCAGCCCCCACATCCCAAACAGTAGCGTTTAGGGTATGAGGTCTCAAAGACTATCAACGTTTCAGCATTGTGGACCTGAAGCCCTTCGGGTACCTTCCTGCTTGCGAGGCTTGAATATAATACCACTGTTCCGTAAAGTTGTAAATCTTTTTACCGAACCCTGCAGGCCTTCAACACTATGGGCACCCTGAACCACGCACCTTCAACCCATAAACACCTAGACCCCAAAGCGTCAAACTCCAGCCCCTCTCCCCATACGTACCTCTATAATGTTACCTATATTCACTCCCCCAGAAACTGTTTACCCTAACTTCTGCAATGGTACCTAGATTCCCAGCCCCGCTCCCCCTTAAGCACCAACCCTAAACTCTAAACCCTAAACCCCAAACCCTAAAGCCTAAACCCCAAACCCTAAACTCTAAACCCTAAACCCGTCCACTCCTGCCTGGACCTTGGGCCTCTCCTCCATCTCGCCTCGGCTGACCTCCACAATTGCGGCGTGTGTTTGTTTTTCATGATGTTCGCGGATGGGGGGGATAGGGGGCATGCATCCCTACATCTGTATACATATATATATATATATTTATATATACACATGCATACATAAATATGTCAGAGAAAGAGGGGGAAGCAGGAGAACATGGAGATATGGCACTGTTTGTTTGTGATTGTAGCAAGTTTGTGCCTGCTGCAACCGAGCCCGTTCAGTTTAGGATGGTTTAGGGTTCAGAAGCTGTGGGTTTTTTGGGGGGCCTTTAGTTGATTGAACCAACCCAATAGGATACATCTTACTTTCCGTTGGGGACCATACCCTTAACCCTGAACCCTGAAACCCTGAAACCCTCATCTCATTGGGTTTGGGGTTTATAGGGTTTCGGGAATTCAGGGAGATCAATCGGTCAATGAAGCAGGCGTTTGACACTTCAGCCCCTCCCAGAGGTATAATTTGAAAATTATTTAAAGTCCAGGGTTTAAGGGTTTATTGGTTTTTGGGTTTCGCGTTTAGGGGTTTAGGGTTTTGGGGTTTTGCGTTTTAGGGTTGAGGGTCGGCTACGCTCTGTAAAATATCTTTGCAGGTGCTAATAATGAGTATTCCCCCTTAACATATGTGTGTATATATTTCTATGTATGTATTTGCATTTGGGCACTATAGGAGGAGTGTTTAGTAGTAGGTTGCTTCATGGATATCTGGTCTATATGAATTCTTCTCATGAATCAATTAGAAATGATACAAAAACACTGAACTCCTATAGTTCCACTTTTGAATAGGAATATTTCACAACCTAATTAGAAATAGTGTGGAAATCCTGGATTCATGGTTTACTGGTTTTTGAGAGGGTAGTATTTTGAGACCGTACAGCACTTGCTTCTGGGGACCGCAAAAGTGCTCTACTGTCCCTGCCGTACTGTCCCCATCTTTGGTGCAATCTGAGATTGTTTTTTGGACAGTACAGCACTCCATCAACAGAATGACTGCTTTACAGTAGTCTATGGATTTTTTTGGGGGGGGAAATAATGATGATGTCAAAGGTTCATTCATTACATAGTGCCTCTTCCTAGCAGTGTTCGAGGAGAAGCCTTTTCATGTTTCCGTTGAGGCTTGCCCTACATCTAATCCTGCTCCTGGCACCTGAGCACTTGACTTGCGTGTAGATCCTCTGTTCGAAGACGCAGGGCCCGACCATTCGATCTTGAGCAACTTAAACATAGCCTGTACCCCGAACATTCTACCCCACTGGGTCTATGGACACGAATAAAAAGAAAGGAGATTTTAGATCCTTATTGCCTCCCTACGGTAGCATCATATACTTCCTGATCCTTATGAAGGTGCTTGGGCTTATCTGATAGTTGTATACTGTGGACCCCCGGAGTTCGGGCCCTCCTGCCGGCATATTTTTGGGAATTTCCACACTGAAAGCCTAGACCCAAAACCCAAATTCTCTTTGAGAAAACCTCCCAATCCGCCTAATCCCTAAACTCCAAACCCGAAATCCCGCCCCATCGTCCTCCCCACAGGAAGCGGCACCAGCAAAGGGCGGAGCCTCGCCTTTCAGGACAGTTTAGGGTTCAGGATTACAAGGGGGGGCCCCCTAGTTATAAGTTGGATTATAAGTCGGGCTAAATATACTTATAATTCCATAAATTCTAGTTATAGGATTTATAAGTATAGTTATGTAA